TGGTTGTAATTGCTCATTGAAACATTTTCATGATGGCTGCTCTAAAACTCTTTGTCTGATCATTTGTCTGGCCATTTTAGTGTTGGCATATTGATTCTTCTTTTCATTCAGATTTCAATGTTCATGGTTCTTGATATGAAATGTGATTTTCTACTGAAACCTGGGTTGGGGGAGTATTAGCTTATGAATCTCTGAATCTTATTTAACTCTTTTGTTAGCTGACTTTCTCTGACACCCCTGCAGTAAGGGAAGGTAAGGATTCCATTTCATTATTGACAGGTGGGAAGAGAAGTTCAGGTTTTCCACTCAGCCTCTCTTGACACTGAAGGTATGGAAGAAAGAGGCTCTTCATTATTGCTGGATAGGAGTGAGGCTCTGGCTCCCCACTAAATTTTCACTGATATGCTCCTGGCTGGCAGGTGTAGGAGTCCTTTGTAACTTAACCACACATGCCCTTTGCTGATGGCACAAGATGGTGGCTTTCCTACCTTTGGTTAATGGTGCCAGTTGTGACCTTCCATAAGTCCCTGACATCATCTCAGTGGGGTGGGAGGGCACCTCATGACTGTCAGCTTGGGGGTTTTCCTTTTGGGGGTCACCCATTTGGCCCTTGATGGTATGAGTGGGAGCAGGATCACAGTCTTTTCTGAGGTATTTATAGCAAAAAGTAATTACTGTCTAAAGATTCTCTGTCTTATAAGACTGCCTTTTACTTGTTTTTCTGGATGTCAAGAGCAAGTTTTTCTTGGGGCTCTTTTGTCTGTACCTATTGGTATGTTCAGGTTCAGGTTCTTCAGCTCCAGGTCTAGGATATATGAGACAAACAGAAAATCCAGAGCATTCATCATTTTTATTCCTTAGATCCTGCAGTCCCTAGCCTTTTGTCCCTTCCAAGTTCTTCTCACATTTGTTTTATATGTAATGTCCAGGGGTTTTAGCTGCTTAGTGGGAGAAATAGAGAAAAGGATGGCTATCCCAACTTCCCAAAAGCATTTAATATTTTGTTGGAATATTTGATACATATAAAAAAATGCATGCAAGTCTATGTGTGTATGCCATATGTGTGTTATAAAACATAACAGTATGGAAACTGAATCTTTTTTGTTTTTTAAGTTTTTTGCCATAGGGTACACTTGCTGAAGAGAGATAGAGAAGGAAAGAGAAATCATCCCCCCGGGAATGGCCACATGCAATCCCTTCTCCATTCTCCTCCGGGGATTTTTGGACACACACACACACATACACGTGCCCAGCATGATTTTTAAGCAGCTGGGTTCAGGGCTTGAACCTCAGTCGGCCATGTGACTCAACCACTATCCCACCTACTAGCCCTGGACACTGAATCTTTTAAAATTAAAAATATGTATTAGTGAGTTGGGCTTTTTCCTAGGAAGGAAATAAATTTCACACTACTCAATCCCAAACTAACTTCCTTTGGCTATAAATCTTTTAGCCTTCTAAGACCCTGAAATGTCCTTGGTTCTAGAACTTGCTGGTGACTGAATCTTGACCCCATGGCCTACTTAGCATATTGCTGTTGGTTGTTGTTATTTAAAGGCCACCTTTCCTCCATTCTGAAATTTCCTGCCTCCCGGTCACATGTCAACCTCAAGAGTGACACAGGCTTGCAGCCGGCAAGCCCACAAAGCTGATGACTAAGGAAAACTAAAATAAACACACTGTAGAGAGAGGATTCCCACAGTCCTAGGCTGCTCTGACCACTCCCTGCCCCATACTGGGCCTTCTTCCCTCCCATTCTTCTCCCAGAGGCTTTCTCACCATCCTGTGTAATGCGATATATCTCCTACTCCGTCATCTTCTATCCTAATGAGCATTGCCTGCCCAGAAGAAGCCTGCCAATGGCCATCCTATTCAAAAAGAGCCAGAACAGGCACGCAGGGTCTGGTGCCTACAGACAGAACGGAGAACTCTAAGCAGGAGATGGGATCTGATAATCCACTGAAGCATTACCTGGGAGGACTCCAGGTTGGCCAAGCCTTGTTCCTCTCCAGGGAGACATCAGGTCGCACATGGATCTTCCTCCACCTCTTCTAGACAGTTTTCCTTTCCCCTGGCGGCACTCACCAGGCTTCCAGGAAGCACAGGGGTACAGGATGTGAACTTCACACTATTCTCGAACAGTCGAGAGTCCCTGAGGTCCACAGGACACCCCTGTGGAGCCATTCCCTGCCTCAGAGAGTTATAAGACTGCCTTTTACTTGTTTTTCTGGATGTCAAGAGCAAGTTTTTCTTGGGGCTCTTTTGTCTGTACCTATTGGTATGTTCAGGTTCAGGTTCTTCAGCTCCAGGTCTAGGATATATGAGACAAACAGAAAATCCAGAGCATTCATCATTTTTATTCCTTAGATCCTGCAGTCCCTAGCCTTTTGTCCCTTCCAAGTTCTTCTCACATTTGTTTTATATGTAATGTCCAGGGGTTTTAGCTGCTTAGTGGGAGAAATAGAGAAAAGGATGGCTATCCCAACTTCCCAAAAGCATTTAATATTTTGTTGGAATATTTGATACATATAAAAAAATGCATGCAAGTCTATGTGTGTATGCCATATGTGTGTTATAAAACATAACAGTATGGAAACTGAATCTTTTTTGTTTTTTAAGTTTTTTGCCATAGGGTACACTTGCTGAAGAGAGATAGAGAAGGAAAGAGAAATCATCCCCCCGGGAATGGCCACATGCAATCCCTTCTCCATTCTCCTCCGGGGATTTTTGGACACACACACACACATACATGTGCCCAGCATGATTTTTAAGCAGCTGGGTTCAGGGCTTGAACCTCAGTCGGCCATGTGCCTCAACCACTATCCCACCTACTAGCCCTGGACACTGAATCTTTTAAAATTAAAAATATATATTAGTGAGTTGGGCTTTTTCCTAGGAAGGAAATAAATTTCACACTACTCAATCCCAAACTAACTTCCTTTGGCTATAAATCTTTTAGCCTTCTAAGACCCTGAAATGTCCTTGGTTCTAGAACTTGCTGGTGACTGAATCTTGACCCCATGGCCTACTTAGCATATTGCTGTTGGTTGTTGTTATTTAAAGGCCACCTTTCCTCCATTCTGAAATTTCCTGCCTCCCGGTCACATGTCAACCTCAAGAGTGACACAGGCTTGCAGCCGGCAAGCCCACAAAGCTGATGACTAAGGAAAACTAAAATAAACACACTGTAGAGAGAGGATTCCCACAGTCCTAGGCTGCTCTGACCACTCCCTGCCCCATACTGGGCCTTCTTCCCTCCCATTCTTCTCCCAGAGGCTTTCTCACCATCCTGTGTAATGCGATATATCTCCTACTCCGTCATCTTCTATCCTAATGAGCATTGCCTGCCCAGAAGAAGCCTGCCAATGGCCATCCTATTCAAAAAGAGCCAGAACAGGCACGCAGGGTCTGGTGCCTACAGACAGAACGGAGAACTCTAAGCAGGAGATGGGATCTGATAATCCACTGAAGCATTACCTGGGAGGACTCCAGGTTGGCCAAGCCTTGTTCCTCTCCAGGGAGACATCAGGTCGCACATGGATCTTCCTCCACCTCTTCTAGACAGTTTTCCTTTCCCCTGGCGGCACTCACCAGGCTTCCAGGAAGCACAGGGGTACAGGATGTGAACTTCACACTATTCTCGAACAGTCGAGAGTCCCTGAGGTCCACAGGACACCCCTGTGGAGCCATTCCCTGCCTCAGAGAGCCTCAGATTGCCCCAGCATGTGGGATGGCTGTGGGGAGGCTGAGCAGCAGGGGTTATGTGTTCTGTCTACAATACACTGTTGGGTTGATTCTGGGGAAAGATCTAAGCAAGTCTCACAAAGAGCAAAGGGTTGCAGCTGCAACATCGCACCTACTGAGAAGCACGCCAGCTGGGGCTCGCCTCGGATGCGATGTGATTTTCCTACCCGGCTCTTCCGTGCCTTTCACATCTGAGGGATGAAGGGTGGGAAGCAGGCCGGGCTCTGTGGCTGGAGGAGCCAGTTCCGGTGCAGCGCCATTCCTCAGTCACATGCTCTTGAGCAGGTTGCTTGTGTCCTTGAACCTCAGTTTTCTCGTGAGTTGACAAAGGAGAGGGAAGCCCTACAGCATAGCAGTTAAACACTGGTGGTTAAGGCCAGAGGACACCAGATCCCACATGGCTAACCAGGGTTCAAGTAGCAGACCCAACGGCTTGAAAAAACAGGCCCACTGTGTGCGCCTGTGTTCAGGATCCTGAGAGGATGGAGAATTGGAGGAAAAAGGATCACATGTGGCCAGGTCCAACTGTGTGTGCGTTCTCTCTCTCTTCCTCTTACGCATGTGCACATACCCTCCAGCATTTAAAACAATTGTCTTAGTGTGGTATTGATACCTAGTCTATGAGAGACTATTAAATGAGCTAAGGGGAGAATTTATAATGTGTCAGGTATGGCAAGAGCATTGTGGAAATAATGTTATCTGGGATTTGCTTTAGAATACTCTGGAAGAAAAGGAAGTGTAAAAAGAGGGAGATAAAGGACAAATGAAACCGAATTGGCAAAATGTTAATCATTGAAGGGGATGCTAGGGTTGGCGTTTATTATGGTGTATTCTCTATGTTGATTGTTGAGCTCGTTTGAAGTTTACATTCTGATAGGGTCAGTAAGATAATGGGCAGCAATACCCTTGGGAAAGTGCTGTGTTGTGGAAGAGGTCTCACCACACTGGTTCTTTGACTAGGTAACTGAGGATGCAGCTCCATGCTGACGAAATTTGGCTCTAAGAATTGCAACGTATCAGGGCCAGCAGGTGGTATTCCGGTTACAGCTCTGGATTCCCGCATGGCCAACCTCGGCTCGAATCTAGGACCTGGTGGCTTGAAAATAATGCTGGGTGTGTATGCATGTGTGCCCAGAATCTGAGGAGGAGACTGGAGGAGAAGGGACTATGGTGTGGCCAGCCCCCTGGAGAGTGATTTCTCACTTTCTTTCTCTTTGTCTCTCCCCAGCTAGTGTATGCACCCTATGGCAAAAATCTTAAAAACCAAATAAATAGATAAAAGAACTACAATGGGCCGCAAAAGTGTGGAAGAGCTCACCACCATCAACTCGCCAAGTGAAGGGGAGCTCAAGAGCCTCTGATGGGACAGAAGGTAGAATTATATTACACCTCCACCTCCCAAACAGGTCTTCATTGCCTCTCTCTTTTTCCAGAGTGTGGACTCTGCCACAATTTCATGGCTGCCTGCCATTTCTCCTCAGTTCTCTTGACTCCTCTGCCTGGGAGACATTGCCCAGTCTCTTTTCTCTCCAAGATGATCTCTGGTTTTGTTCTCAGATTATCAAATTCAAGAGAGGCAGTGCTGGGGACAGCAGATGGCATAGCAGTTATGTCACTGGACTCCCATGTGGCCAGCCATGTTTGAGTCCCAGACCCAGTGACTTGAAACTCACACTGGGCATGTGTGCATGTGTCATGCCCAAGATCCTGGGAGGAGAATGGAGAAGGGATTGCAGCATGGCCATCCCCCCAGGGGGTGATTTCTCACTTTCCCTCTCATTGACTATCTCTGTCTCTCTCTCTGGTGAGCACACATACCCTAAGGCAAAAACCTCTAAAAAAAAAAAAAAAGAAGAAGAAGAAGAAAAGAAAGAGGGGCAGTGCTGGTGGCCAGGAAAGAAATTAGGAGCCAGAGCCATGCCAGGCCAGGAGCCGGCATTGAGGCCACCTAACCACCACATGCAGGGCAGAGGTCCCCGGCTGCAGTCCCTCAGTCAGCAGGTCTGACGGCATCACTGGCCTTGAGCGTGGTGACAGTACCGTGCTGGGTGCTGGTTCTGCAAAAGCAATAAAACCTGATCTCTTGACCAAGGAGCTCATGGTGGAAAAAGTCAGGTAAACAGTTATGATATTGAGTTCCAAGGGAAGACAGAGGGGCTCAGAGGAGCTGCCTACCCTGGTCTCCAGAGGTGTTAAAGGTTGATGGCATGAGAGCCGTGCAGGACTCAGAGAGCAACCACCCCTGCAGGCTCGTCTACCTCCTTCCCAGGCGGTCAGTGCAGAGTCCAGTAAATACTCGAATACCGAGTGCTCGGTCTTGGTCCCAGCAAGTCTTTTCTTTCTGACCCTCCTGAATGCCTGAGCTCAGCCTCCAAAGATGAGCAGGCGGCGGGAAGACAGATTGCAACAAGCCTGTTCCCGGCCCAGAGAAGGGAGCGTGAATAAACAGATCCTCTTCCTCCATCTCCCTTTCTGTAGCTCTCCTTTCGGAAAAGTTGTACAATTGAATCACGAACCTCCACACCAGACAGAAAGAGTCTGCTTCATCCAGATGCCACTTTTAATTGGAGATTGTCAACCAGTGAGAAAGGACTTTACAATCACAAAGGGACCAGGTAGGCTTACAGAAAGAGGAACAAAAGATTTTTTTTTTCCCAATTTGTTCAGCAAAGAACTAGATAAACCCCAGACCATACTCTGGCTGTCATCCAAGGGAAAGGATATATTCAAATCCTTAGTTCTTTCTGTTATTCTCTTTCATTTCCAGGAAGCCCTGTTTGTTTTCTGGGTCTAATTTAGTGCCCATCCTCACATTTCCTGTGTTTATTTTGGATGTCTCTTCTCCTTATAGCAATCTATTTTTTACTGTGGAGTCTCTTTTGTGTCATGTTTATAATGCTAGTTTATTTTCCATACGCTGTATCAAAGATGAGCAGACAGTCTTTAACAATGTTAACAGTAATATCAAAGGGCGGGCCTTCTCTAGAGAACAGTAAGGCTGGCCCACGCGCGTCTTCTCACGCAGTGGAACCCCATGTGCTGGCAGGAGAGGTCGCTACTTCCTGTTCTCTACGCCCAGCCAGGGTGGGCTCTCCTCTCCTGCCTTCATCTCTGATGGCCACCGGTCATATGTCCTGAGATTTTGCCGTTCTACTGAGCAGCCCTATCCATCCAACCGACCCTGGGGACCTCTATTCAGATGTGGGATTCTCTAATGTGCATGCCCCACCTCCCACCTGCTCCTTTTCTCATATTTTCCCATAAACCCAGCCCTGCTGAGACCCCTGCGAGCCCACTGGGCTTCTCCTCCGACCCTGTCAGGCCCCCACCAATGCTTCCCGATATTCAGAATCCACGGGCTCTCCCTCAGGCCCTCGAGTCTCTCACGTGTCTTTCTGCCACCCGTCTCCTCCTCTTGATGAGTTACTGCTGCTGCTTCCAAAGCAATCTCTTTACATTTTTGTGTCACTCCTTTGCTGCCCATAAACCTATTGGCTTTTCACTGCCTCAGGAAAAAGACAAGTTCTTTACCAATACAGACACCTTTTATTCCTCGGCCTCATTTCAGTCCATTTTTACATCATTAGCAGAAACACCTGACACAGGGTGAAGGTAAGAGATGGAGGTTTATGTCAGCTCACAGTTCTGGCGGCTGGAACGTCCAGTGGCATCACAAAATGGTGGAAGGTGGAACTTCCGGTAGAACGACAACAAAGAATGGGTTATATCCGTGAGACTTTCACCTGCTTCCACCAGAACTCAGTTGTGGGGACCCTGCCTTAAAGAACTATCATACCCAAAGCCCCCATACTGTGAAGGACTTACATTTTCACTTCTAAAATTCCATCAGTGCAATCGAGCCCCAGCACGTGAACCCCTGGAGACATCCAAGCATTGTCTACCCAGACCGACTCCAAAACAAGGGCCAGTGAAGAACAAGCCATTACCCAAACCTGAGCAGGCCCCAAGTCACATTTGCAGCCTATCCCCCGCCTTCCCACCCGATCAATACAGGGCTCATTCCACGCCTGGAGCACTCGGCCATTGTCCTAGCTATTCTGTTTTTGTTTGGTTTTTAATAATTATTTAATTTTATTTATCTTTGTTTGTTTGTTTGTTTGCTACAGGGCTCATGTGTGAGAGAGAATGAGAGAAGGAATGTGAGAAAACAAGCCGCCGGATCTGAGACTCGAACTCTATGTGGGAGTCTAGCCCCTTAACCCCACACCGCTTCACTTGCTGGCCCCAGCAACTCTGTTCTTTCCAGCCCACTGCCTCTGTATATCTTTACTTATGCCTTTCCTTGGAATGTCCTTATTCCCTAGTTTTGTCTCTTATAAGAAAAAAAATAAAACGGGGCCATCCCAGGCCTCCTGCCTAGTCCATCCTTTCATTCATTCATTCATTCATCCCACAGTCATTTACTGAGCACCTACTAGGTGCCAGGCATTACTCCAGGCAGAGATACAGCAGCTACCAGGATGGACAATCTTGGCCTCCATGGAGCTCACCTTCCAGCAGGAGTAAGGGTAAACACAAGCAAAAAACAAAATACATACATGTGGCTGTGGTGAGTTATGCAGGAAAACAAAGCCCTAGAGACGAGAGAGGAGTGAAGGAGGTGAGGCG